AGGAAATGTAAAATGACAAAGCTTACATGTCCTTGCCGAACAAGTGGACCTTTAAAACCCACTTAAATTGGAAGGCGAGGGCGAAATTGGACCGGCCCTTCCTATGAATTCTGAAGACTTTTGGTAGTATTTTTTGAAATTAAATTATGACATTACTGAAATGTTAAAAAGCCCCCAAGACTACTCTTTTTATTCAACTTACTTCCAATCTAATTTTTTTTCTCACTTTTCTTTCCAAAATATACTTTCTATGCAAATATGTCCCAAACCAAATAAAAAATAAAAAATGCCTAAACTACCCTCTTTTAATGTTTTCTTAACCAGGCTTCTCTCTCCTCTATCCCACCAAAATAGGGGCTTCGGTACTGAGCACTGTGTAAGTGCGGTCCGGCAGTAGGGCTCCGATACTGTGTAAAGTGCGATTCGACAGTAGGGCTCTAGCCCTGTATAAAGTGCAATCCGACAGTAGGGCTCTGACACTATGTAAATAGGGGCTCTGGTACTGAGCATTGTGTAAATGCGGTCCGGCAGTAGGGTTCCGACATTGTGTAAAGTGCGGTTTGACAGTAGGGCTCTAGCACTGTGTAAAGTGCGATCCGGCAGTAGGGCTCTAACACTATGTAAAGTGCGGTCCAACAGTTTCAAAGGGCGGTCCGGTAGTTGTAAAGTGCGGTCCAACAGTTGCAAAGGGCTGTCCAACAGTTGTAAATGACGGTCTGGCAGTAGATGTTATTGGATTCCAGGGCTCCGACACTATGTAAAGTGCGGTTCGACAGTTGCAAAGGGCGGTCCGGCAGTTGTAAAGTGCGGTCCAACAGTTGCAAAGGGCGGTCCAGCAGTTGTAAATGACGGTCCGGCAGTAGATGTTATTGGATTACAGGGCTCCGACACTATGTAAAGGGCGGTCCTACATTACTCAGTTTCGGTCCAGTTGTTGTCTGAGGGTGGTCCGACACTTGTGCGCTCAGACAATGTGATGGCATGTTCCGGCAATGTGCTACTGGAGTCCAAAAGTCAACGTCAAATATGGCCAAAATGATTTTTGTGTACGGGAAGAGTATTTCCGTCTAAAAAAATGAACTTTTTCTCTTAGGGGGTATTTGCATAGAAGGTTTGTTTTGGGGAAAAAAATGAGAGAAAAAGTTAAGTTGGGGGTAAGTTGCATAGAAAGTGTGGTCTTGAGGTTTTTTTTTATAATTTTCCCTAAATAGTTCTTGAGTAGTTCAGAATTTTGATAAAATTTTCTCTCTTTTTCACGCATCCATGGAGTAAAACCCAAGCCCACGGACCTAGGGCTAGCAATGGGTTGGGTCTAGGCCGGCAAAGGTCACTAAAGGCTCTGCGCTAGCATTGCCCAGTGTTTGAGGGGCCCTAGCTTAGGCCCAACCCCAGACCTTGGCTAGGTGTCTAGCCTCTGGCCCTAACCTGATTTGGGCTAGGCCAGACCATGCCTAGCAAATATGAACAACAAAATAAGTGGAAACAAAAAGGAAAAAGGAGACTAGGCGGTCTCATTATGACTCTTGGCAGTGTCCCAGCCCAACCTGGCCTGGCTTGACCCTCAAAGCCAAATCTTGTGTCCTAGCTCTTGGTTTTAAGGGTTGGGCCCGCTCAGTGGCCCAAATAGGCCCCGCCTCTTGGGCCATTGGCAACCCTACATGCACCATAGCTTTTAAGGGTTGGGCCAGCCAGGCGGGACCACCCGGCCACTGACTGGGCCACCTGGCCATTGCCAGCCCTACATGAACCACGGCGGAGCAACACATGAGGACTCAAGCCAAAGGACTCAAGTTGTGGCCGTTTCGATATGGAGCCGTTTCCGAATGTTTACATGGCCCACGTCAAAATCTCTCTCTCTCTCTCTCTCTCTCTATCCAGGAGATCAAAACAAAATATAACTGATGCAACTGCTCGCTGTGGAAAGCATCGCTTTCTTGACGTCGGCCCATTCCAAAATCTTTACAAAAAAACAATGAATACCTCCCATAAAGCAAGAATCGATTGATTTTTGAGTACCTCTCATAGAGCAAGAATCCATTTGAATTTTACTCTAGGGTTGTAATCATTTTAAATCTAGTAAAATGGTTTGCTAGGGCTGTAGCCCTATCAAAAAAAAGAAAAAAAAGTAAATCCTAACCTCATAACTTATCAAAAATTGCAAGTCAAGTATTGGAAAACCTTTACATCGTTCATCTGGACTTGAATATTATGGTTGTGAAAAAAATAATAATTTCAAACTCTAAAAATAGTGTATATTGTAACAAATTACCTACACCTTTTATTTTGGTTTAAAAATAAGTGTTCACATATCCACAAGTTCTGTACTTTTTTTGAGTTTCAAATTTTATTGTCGGTGTTGGAAATTGATTTTAGAGCCATCATAGAAATTTCCGTCACTCATAGTACTTTCAAAACGAGTGAGGTGAGGCTTTATTTTGTTTCATAAACCCTAGGCCTTATAGAAACATCATCCATTTATTTAAGAGGCCAAACAATCTCAAAGAGCTCCATTAGATACGTATGGCTGAAGGAATTTGGCAAAAAGAAAAGAGTGAGTGCATGATTTTATCTATATATATATATACCTTCACTCTTTCAATACAATCATAAGGTACCTCTATCCTAAGATTGCAGGTGTTTGGTTGTTGGAGAGTTATTACTGCTTGAAGAGGTTGCCTACCTCCCTCATTGTGGTTGTTCCTTGCACTTCACTCAATCATCACCCTGCCACGATTCTCTTGTCTGCCATGCTCTCTCATCCAATTATTTAGAGTGAATTTGACAATATGCCTTATATTTATTTTTTTAACTTGACAAACTTAAAGAGTGATGAGAAAAAAGACTCAACCAAGGTATTGAGACCTTGTCCCAGACGAATTATTCAGCCGAGTTCATGCTTAAAAAAAAAAAAAGAAGAAAAATAACAAAACTAGATAAGATTTATATATAATAAGATACCAATACTTATCATGAGTACCTAAGTAGTGTACTTGTAAACTACTGTGGGCCTCAACAAGAGGTTGAGGCATCAAATCTTGTCCATTGCCTTTCACTTTGTGAGGAAACCCTCTTAATTGTTTAATTAAATCATAATGGTGGTGCTAATCTTTTAATAAAAAAAACTCCCTTTAATTGTTTAATTAATAGGGTTTATATATAATTGGATACATATATATCCAAGTAGTGTATTTGTCAACTATGGGCCTCAACAGGAGGTTGAGGCATCAAATCCTGCCCGTTGTACGTCACTTTGTGAGTTTGTAGTTTATTAATAAAAATGAGTTCGTATTTTAAATGAGTGAGTATTTTTTTTAATGATTATGTAGTTTTTTTAATAAAATTGAGTTTGTATTTGAATGAGTAATTTTTTTTAATAAAAACAAGGAACCCGTCTGAATTGTTTAATTGAATCATAATGGTACTTATTTTTAATAAAAAGAGGAATCCTCTTTAATTGTTTAATCAAACCATTGAGTAAGATCATGTATGGGAGGATTAGAACCGAAGATGAGAGGCTGCTGATTGAACCATTGAACCTTTCAGATCATGTTTGGGAGGATTCAAACCGAAGATGAGAGGCTGCTGATTGAACCATTGAACCTTTCAGATCATGTTCGGGAGGATTCAAACTGAAGACGTGAACCTTTAAGATCATGTTTGTGCGGATTCGAACGGAAGATGTGAGGCTGATTGAACCATTGAGCCTTTAAAGATCATGTCTGGGAGGATTCAAACCGAACAAACTGAAGACGTGAACCTTTTTAAGATCCTGTTTGTACGGATTCGAACTGAAGATGTGAGGCTGATTGAACCATTGAGCCTTTAAGATCATGTCTGGGAGGATTCAAACCGAAGACGTGAGGCTGATTGAACCATTGAGCCATTGTGAAACACATGTCTAGGAGGATTCAAACTGAAGACGTGAGACTGATTGAACCATTGAGTTTTTAAGATCACGAATGGGAGGCTGATTGAACCATTGAGCCATTGTGAAACACATGTCTAGGAGGATTCAAACCGAAGACGTGAGACTGATTGAACCATTGAGTTTTTAAGATGACCTATGGGAGGATTCGAACCGAAGATGTGAGGCTGTAGGGAAGTAGATAATAGCCAACAAGTCACTTAGATGTTGTATGAATAAAGTTGCAGGTACAGAATATATATAAAACATCAATACGTAGTACTCAGCCTCGCCTATTGGATGAGGCCAAGTAACTTGGCCGAGTCCGAGTCTCCTCGGCCGAGTCTAGAATCACTGGTTAAAGAACATCTATTCTTTTTTTATTTGGACTACAAGATGGAATTCTCAATTTTTAGTCCCCTTTAGGTTTAACTAGGGAGGAAGACTCTCTCATAATTCTAGGACACTAGGGTTTTAAAAGTGGCCGAGCTGACCTAGAATCAACAGTATCAGTATAGAATTAGTGGGCAAGCTTTTCTAGTTAGAGAAACCTTTGAATTGTCTGATTCCCTCAGTTTTTTATTTTCTATTCCATCCTTATTACAATAACGTACTACGATCAGACACAAGAATTCCGTACTTTGATTAGTCAACTTGGAATTGGTCCCAATGCAATTTGGTGTCCGATTCCGATTTACATGAGATTGGAAAATCTTGGTGAAAATCCCATTCATTTAACATCAAAAGGAGCTCAAATTTTACACTAATATCAAAGATATTGTAATTAACCTTCCAACTATGTTGAATTCCCTAAACTTCGCTAACACAACAAACATTTCTTCTCATTCATCATGCTGCAAAGTTTGGCTGTGTTTTGGGATAGCAAGTAATGATGATAAGAACAAAAGCACATAGGGTTGCATTCATCAGCAAAAAGTATCAATATTGCAAAAAGAAATACAAGGAGCCCAAAACAAGACACCTTGGGTTCACTATGGCAATGTCCCCACAATGATATGGGGCAGTTTTTCTTGTTTGCCTCTCCTATATAAACCCCTTAAACATCTTGGTTCTTCCAACACCTACCCATGGCTTCTTTCACTCTGTATTTCCTCTCTTTATCCCTCTTCTCTCTTTTCCCCACTCCTTTGGGCTCTGGCCATCTAACTCACCTTGGCATGGTTGAACCTAGCCAAGTACAAGCAAATATTTCACCACCTCTCCCCGGAATTTTCCCCTCTGAGCACGTTAGAACCTCCAAGTTCACTAGGCATTATGCCAATCTTTGGGGTTCACAGCACCAAAATGTATCCAAAGATAACTCTTCCGTTACTCTTCGAATCGATCGATATTCTGGTCTGTTCCTCTCTCCCTCTCTCTTTATATATCTATCTATATGTCTATCTATATATAAACCCATCGATCTTTCTTTCTCTCTATGTTTTAAGGGAAAGGTTTATATACAACCCTTACTGTATGGAAGATATATACCTTCCCCGCCATTCAGCCGTCCAATTTAGATCAAGTGAGTCACTGACCGTTTGATCTAGATCCGACACCTTAGAGTATTTCATTTTAATTTTTTCTATAAATTATATGATTATGAAATTTGGTACATACCATCATCTCAAAGGGGTGCACTTAATATTTTTTATAAAATACAACGACCAAAATACCCATGAAAATTTTAGGGGCATTTTGGTTATTTTATTTTATTGGGAATAATTTTTTTAGATTTTTTATAGGTGCGAGTTTAAGAGTGAAGTGTATGTCTAAAATTTGGTGTCAAAATATTTTGTAGAAAGAAATTAAAAATAAAATAATATAAAGGTATGACATTATGATTGAGGCTATCTCAACCGTCCATTCAGGATGGATGGTTAGAAAGGGTGAAGTATATAAATTTTATAGAGTAAAAAAAGTACAGAAAGCTTGCCCATATTTTAATATGTTCATTCCCTTTTATGATTGAAGTAATAGCCAGACTATGTTTCTCGGGATTTGGGCTCAAATATGTGGCACCTTGTTTCCAAGAGGGAGGCTGAGGGTTCTAATTACTTAGCTTACTCATCTAGGAGGAAGAGAACAAAAAGGCTAGAACCATTCCCACAGGAAATTAATGGGAATTATATCTTCCAAGTTACTAATATTGAGAGGCACGAAAAAGGGCTTTCATAAAAATAAAGAGGCAATAAGAAAGAGTAATTATGTCACTTTTGTTGCTTTGGGGATTAAGAAGATGAAAGGAGGCCAATTGAATCGTTATTTCTATTGTAAATGACTTATGAAACCATGAACAAAGGCATCTTTTAGACACCGAAAGAGACCACGGTTGGTGGACATTTATGTTTGACGAGGTACCTTGTTTGTATTCATGTTTAGGTTTGTATGTACCGGGAAATGGGTTAGGGTTGCGATGGTAACACTTTGTGGTTCCATTTTCATTGACACCACCCTACTAATACCTTTCAAAAACTAACTCTTAAATTATTATCACGGATACCACCTTATTAATACCTTTCAAAAACTAACCCCTAAATTATTTGAAAAAAACAGGAAGGGAAAACTAGGTTGTCAATGGGTCGAGGCGGGTTCAGGCTCTTTGGCCTAGCTAGAGCTCAAGACAATGTAGGGTAGACCTGGGTCCATTATGGGTCAAAAGTTAAAGTTCATGGCCTAGCCTACAACTTGGACCAAAACAACCAGGCGGCCAGGCTGGGCCCCATATAAATATTTAAGTGTATGTGGCATATACTTCAAAATTCTGGTTAGGCTCGGGTCAGGTCAGTGCTAGCTTGGGCCAAGCCTGATAGTATGGTAGGCTTGCCCCGGTTCTGGTATACGGGTCATAACTTTGGGCCTGAAACTGACCCTGGCCCACAGGCGCACAGCCGTGGCTCGTTAGTATTCCCAATCAGAATGAGCAAATCCTTTGGTACGGTGTTTTTGCTGTGGACCAAACTCACAATGTGATCCCCCCAGCTCCACCACTTTGCCCACCAATCTAGGTTTTTAAAATTTGAGAAGATAGATTGCATGGGTTATATACCCGAATCAAGGCCAGACCCCATTAAAAATCCCAAGGAGTAAACAAAACAAAACGAGAACGTGTGGTATATCCATGTGATCAAACTATATGATCCGCCCTGATGAATATCATCGTCCATTCAATCCATTGGATGGTGGATAGAGGGAAAGTTGGGCCACCTTATTAATTCAATTTTAGTCCACTCTCTCCATCACCCTCAATTTCATGGCCTGGTCCTAACTCTTATGGACATGTGCGCTATGTGATAGAGGCAATGGGCCGGGTGGCCCGGACCAGACCGGTTGGTCGACTCTAAAAAACTAGGGCTTGGGCCACAAAATGTGGCCCGAGGGCCGAGCTTGGTCAAAGGCAAGAAAGGTCTAGCCCGGCCCTTATTTTTTAATTTTTTTTGCTTTGTTTTTCTTTAATTTTCAGATCCCTAGCATAACAAATATCTTGAACCTCAGACAATAAACTATTAATGGGACTTTTATTTGCCCTTTACAACACTTTATTGCCTTCAAAGAGTCTACTTCAACGATTATCTTACTCCGAAAATCCATTTAGCAATTTCTTTACAATGATCTCAATTCCGCTTCATTAGCTGTCCAATACCAAACGGGCAATAATATTGCCCCTTCATGGTTTCTCACCAACCCTGCAATATTTTCTCTTCCATTAATTCGAAAGAGAGCTTCTATTAAAATTTAATATGATGTAATCCTACATCAATCATCCCCTTTATTTTGAACATCAAATTCACCCTCACAAATCCCCAAAACTCTTTACATACTGATGCCCACTTACTATCCCTTCAAATATTCTTCTATTTATTTCTTCTCTATGTCCCACAATACCACCATGCCTTTCATGATTTTCCTAAAGATTTTACCTACTCCTGATGCATCATCATGAATTTCATTTGAGTAAATATTTTTTCAGCATGCAGTGGGACTTCCACTTACTTCTCAGCACATTTCTAGCCCACTCCTGTATTTTTTGGGGGTGGTATAGCGCCCACATTACGTAGATTTTTGATGGGGGTGGTATAGCGCGCCCACATTACGTAGATTTTTGAAGGGTGCACAATCACTCTTTAACGGTGCACAATCACTCTTTAACGGTTCACATTAACTTCTTTCAACAACCACAAATTGATTTTTTTTTTTTTTAATCCAAATTTTTTTATTTTTCTTAATTTGGGATATAGATGCATTCTTACAAAGCACATAATAAAATAAAATAATAAAGAATAGTTTAATATGTCATATAATAATGAATCTAACCGCAAGTTTTAGATAAGTATAAATTTTAAATAAAATTAAAATAAAAAACAGATTTATTTTGTGGCTATTGGACGTCGCCTTTTTGTTCAACTTGAACTATTTGAAGGGTGCCACACTTCCAACATCCACATTATGTGGATGGGAAGCTGATGTGGTTGGGAAGCTTTCCCTTTTTTTTTTTTTTTTCGTTATGTGCAATGTAAAACCATGTTTTCTTACTAACATGAACATGAAATTTGGAATTTTTTTTTTGTTTTTTCTGATCTTTCACATTAGGAAACAATTTATATAAGGTTGCAACTAAAATTAAAGATGCACCTAAAAAAAAAAGATTGTTTTAAAATTGAAAAATCCTTTAATTGATCATCTCAATATCGAGATGTATGAATATGAAAAAAAAAGAAAGATTTTGAGTCCCATAAGCAGTTCATCTTGCAACCCATTATCTAGACCATCCATTTTCAAGATTTTCATATGTTTATAGATCTATTTGATTTTAACCATTTTTAGAGTCAAAATTTTATAATTAAAAATGAAAATAGATTTTCAGATAATCTTAAGAACTACTTACACCAAAATTACATGGTATGATAAAGCATGGAGGTTTATAGAAACCACACCCGCAAAGAAGCATTGTTGCATATGTTTAATATCCATTTTTCCACATGTAGGAAGCGGGTTCAAATCAAAGAAGAGTTACATGTACGGCTTCTTCAACGCTGCCATCAAACTTCAGAGTGGATACACGGCCGGGATCATAACTTCTTTCTACGTGAGTTATATATTCTTGTTTTTAGGTGAGATGTACTATTGTCTCATACGCTATAGAAGTTCTATGGTCCTATTGTGTCTTATCACCATCCAATCCATGGATGGATAGTGTTGCGGAGAGAGGACTTTGGCTCATGTTCAGATTGTTCCCTTCTAAGTTCTAACTCTAGATTGTTTATGGACGATTCGGATCATGGGTTTTATTTTTACTTTTTCTTTGTAAAACCATTTGTTAGAGCATGTGTATGTGCTCTTCCACTACAACACTTTGCTCCCTTGGGTGCAAGAGTCACTTAGGATTTTTTTGGCCTTTTTTGGGAAAGATATTCTACTCCCATAGGAGTGGAATGTCCATTTACTTCCCCCCAGTAAAACCCCGGCCCACTAGGAATTAATATTAGGACACCAAATTTTGGGAGTGCAACCTTTTCAACCCATTGGTTGACTTTAATAGTTTATTTATTTATTTATTACAAATAGATCATTTATTTTCTGTATAAAAATATCACAATCACATTTGTCCATTAAATTTCAAATTGAATGATTATAAAGTATTATTGACTCTAATGAAAGTTCAACTTGAATGATTATAAACTGTCATTGACTAGTATGAAAGTTCAATTTATTTTTTTATTTTTTTATTTTTTTTCAAATTTTATGACACACCTAAAGACATATATTTTAACATCTAATAGGTAAGAATAATTGTAACCTCATTATAAAAAAGATAAATTATCTCATAGTATACAATCCCCTTAAAAAATGATTTTCTTATTGTACGTTTTATGCACTCGAAAACAATAATGTCCCGAGATTGAATAGAAACCATCCTATGTTTAGATGGTGGGATCTAAGTGTTAGAAAACTTGAATTTTAATTTTTTTTTTTGAAAGTAATGATCTAGTAATTCTTAAGTGGGTTCTCAAAATTTTAAATTGATAAAATCTTCCCAAGCCTATCTTCTAATTGAAGTAATAGAAATAAACTATGCTCCCGAGAGAGAAGCAAATAAAATATCATTTCTATCAAAGATAGAGAGAGAATTTATGAGTTGCTTTTGCAGTTGTCGAATAACCAGGTGTACGAAGGGTGGCATGATGAGGTGGACATGGAGTTCTTGGGCACAATCACTGGTGAGCCCATCAAGCTCCAGACCAATGTGTATGGCAACGGCACCGGAGATGGGACCGGGATGCAGGGAAGGGAGCAGCATTTCCACCTTTGGTTCGACCCAACTGCTACCTTCCATAATTACAGCATATTGTGGAGCCCTCATCAGATACTGTAAATTTATTACTCTCTCTCTCTCTTCACCTGCATACATGCGCACATGCAAAAACCCTCATCTCTATTATCATAGATGGGGAAATTTACTTATACATCAATTTTTATTTTTGGTAGTCTAAAATAGTCCTATATATTATATATTTTATCATCAAATCTCTTTTTTTAAGAACAGAAATAGTATTTTAATTTTTTCTTTTTACATGTGTCAGATTATGTTCATATTTGTATGTTCACAATTTTTACCATCATACACTAATAAAAATGATTTAAAATAAATAAAATGTCAAATTAACTATGTACTATTTAGGGGTAATTTGGTAATTTAAATCATTTTTAATATTTTTTATAAATGTATAATGATAAAAAGTATGTATATACCAAATTTGACTTAGAACTTTATATTTTTAGAAATAGGACTTGATAGTAAAATATAAAATTCATGAGATTAGTTTAAATATAAAAATAAAAAAGCATTTATATGTAAACTTCCCTAAAAGAAACCTATAATTATCCGTAACAAAATATATAATAGAATGTATTCCTCTTATACAATATAAGGGGGAAAATGTTGCATGAGGGCTAAACCATATTTCTACAATATGCAGTCCAGGGGTATAAAGCATCCATATTAAAGATGGATGCAAATCGGTGGTCCATCTAACAACAAGTGTAAATAACGGTCCAAATTTTTTCTTAATATAATTATTATTTGTAGTTTTCAAATTTTTTTTTATTTCATGTTCACGATCTCCATGTTAAAGATTACTTATTTCTAAAAATTAAGATTAAATCATATTTAAAAATATATTTATTTCCAAACCCATATTTCTACATTATGCGGGCTGGGCGCATAAAAGCCGTGTCCATATCAAAGGGATAGAGTTATCTTTAGCCATCACATGTGAGATCCAACCATTAAACTAACATAAGAGGGATAGAGTCGATATAGCATCCTACCCTCCACTCCAACCATTAACGCATCAGATTAAAAGAAGAAAGGAAAACATGAAATCAAGTGGCACTCATTGCATGTACGGCTTTGATTACTCAGGGGTGCATACATGATCAATGGAAAGATCGTACACCAAACAATAAATAAATGCATAATAAAAAGGAACCCCCAAAATGAATATATGTCGCCTATGAGGGTACCCTCAGTGGCCCAGGGGCCACGGTGGTGTATAATGGTGATGGTATCATACTCCCTGATCTCCAAAGGTTTTGTATAAGTTGTTGCTTCATGGGAAGGAGATGGAGACGAGATGATCCTGGGGCAGGAAATGTCACCTCGAGCTTCACGTTGGGCCTGTGGCGAGGCACGCCGCCTGGTGCACACCGTCCATACTCTTCTGTATTTGGGTTGTTCATGGAGTGTTGCTTTGTTTTTGGCAACGGTGGTGGTTGCCATAACGCGAACTCCTCTGAGCCGCAGTGCCGAGGTCAATCATGAAGTCGAGCGAGATGGTGCACTACTTGGCCTCACCTTTCATGGTGGGCTCCACATAAGGGTGGCAATGGCCCCATCCTGGCCCTGAAAATTTGGGGCTGGGCTACAAAATGTGGCCCAATGGCCGGGCCACCAGGGCTTCAGGCGGGCCTGGGCCAAAACGCGGCTGTCCTGCTTCGGTTCAGCCCGGCCTTTATTTTCTTTGTTTTTTTTCTTTTAATTTTACTAACCTGGTCTTGACCCCGTCTGAGCTTAATAGGGCCAGAGCCTCCTCAACGCGATTCAGGCAAGGGCTGGCCCTTAGGGGAATAGGGCTGGGGCTGGGCCAGCCTAGGCCCGGGGTGTTGCCAGCCCTAGCTCCTCACACTTTGTGCGTCTATTTCGTAGCCTTGGCCACATCTTCAATAAAATAAAGTTACAACATTATATAAACTTTTCGGTAATAGATGAGTAGCATGTGGTTTGTATAAGGTTGCAACCTTAATCAATCAAAATAAGACGCTTCCATGCTTTATCATAAAATGCGATTTTCATGTCAAAACTTCTTAGAATATATAGTGTGGGAATCTGTTTGCATCACTTAATTTTTATAAACTCCAAAAATAATTCAAATCAAGTAGATCTATAAATGCATAAAAATCTTGAAAATGAACGATCTAGATAATGTATTGCAAGATGTATAGTTTTTGAGACTTGAAATCTTGTTTTTTTATTTATACTCATACATCTCAATGCCGAGATGATCAACTACAAGTTTTTCCAACACCAAAAAAATTTTTCTCCAAGGATTTTAGAAGTGTACCTTGATTCTACATTATAAGGTGGCAACCTTATATAAAACTTTTTCCATATAAATGTGGTGATTCCCTCTCCCCTCATGTCCAACATATATCTAGTAAAGTAAAGTGAATTTATCTTTCCATTAGCAATGTGTTCTCTAGCCCCCATATCTCCAACATGTACGAAGTAAAGTAACTCTCTCTCTCTCTAAGCATTTTGTGAACATGTAGGTTTTTGGTGGATGACATCCCAATACGGCGTTTTCCAAGGGTTCGGGCTCTTGGGCCCAAGTACCCATCCAAGCCCATGTCCGTGTATGCCACCATATGGGATGCTTCAGATTGGGCCACAGATGGGGGCAAATACAAAGCAAATTATACTTATGAGCCCTTCTATGCCACTTACACTAACTTCAAGCTTCGTGGATGCCAAAAGAAGAGATGCTCTCATGCCCTTGACTCTCTCATCCCACCAAAGCCCAACAAGCAATTTAGGGAGTCTTTGAAGTTTGTGAGAGAAAATTATATGGTTTATGACTACTGCCAAGATCTCCAAAGGTACCCCAACAGATTGCCTGAGTGCCCATCCTTGAAGCGCTGGTAAATTATTGATGAATTAGGAATCAGGCTTGCACTGGTAAATTAATGATGAATTAAGAATCGGGCTTGGGTCAAGATAGTAGAGGCTGTGTTTTCACAGCACCACGTCGCAAGCACCATTCCTGTGCAACCAACCTTGTCAAAAAAAGAAAGATGATGAATTGAGTTTGTATTAGCGTTTGGGTTTTGGCTAAATAAGTTTGTATTAGCATTTTTTTTTCATGAGTATCCCCTTTTATGTATTTATAAGGGAATTGTCAATGTTCATTACTGTAATTTCAATGTTGGTTCTCACTCTACAGGAGAATTTTACATGCAAAAAATTATTTATGCTTAGTAGTTTGCGTTTGATGGACAATAGTCAGCTTATTCATAAGCAAAAATATAAGGGAAAGTTTTGTATGTGACCTTACATTTATGTAAAGTATATGGGGAAAGCTTTCTATATTCCCCCTACAATATAAGAGTTCTATGTTCCCCTTATCCAACCGTCTATTTTTAAATGGAGGGCTAAGATTGCACCAATCACAATGTCACGTCTCTACACTGTTTTATTTTTAATTTTTTTTCTATACACTGTTTTGATACCAAATTTTGGACGTCTATTCCTATATTCAATTCGTACTAATGAAAAATATATATAAAAAAATATTTTCAATAAAATAAAATAACCAAAATACCCCTAAAAGTTTCAAGGGATATTTTGGTCATTATGTTTTATCGAAAAATTATTGTTAATATTTTCTATAGGTGCGCCCCAATGAGAAGATGGCACGTACCAAATTTCATATTAAAAACAATTGTATTAAAAAAAATAAAAATAAAATACTTTGAGACGTCGGATCTAAGATCCTCTCTTGATAAAAAATGGACGGCTGGATAGTAGGGAGATCATAGCACTTCTATGTTGTAGGGGGAACGTAGAAAGCTCTTCCAAGTATGTGTGACTCCATTTCTCAGCCATCCGATATGAATAAATAGTTAGGACATCTTATGTCATGATATCACACCAAAATATTATTTTACTTTTAGTATTATTTTTCCACAAAGTATTTTTGTATGAAATTTGGGGCGTCCCCTTAAGTTATTGGGCCACACCAAGCAAAAATAAAAGAAATATTTTCAATAAAAACAAATGATAAAAAAGCCCCTCCATGTTTCGGGGTTATTTTCATAATTTAATGCTATGATTTTTTTTTTTAATCATGTGCATCATTGATAGATATATGTATGGTACAAATTTCGTTATAAAATGATTTATAGAATAAAAATTAACAATAAAATACTTAGAGCCATAGGATCAAAGTTTGAAACTCAAGAGCCAACCCTAGTCAGATTGAAAGGTTGAGAGCAGGGACTACATATGATTCACATCTAGGTGGGTCAGGGTGTGGTTTCTATAAGGTTGCAACCTTAAACAATTCAATTAAGGTGCACCTCCAAATTCTTTCTTAACATGTAATTTTGATGTAATTTGTTTTTAGGATTACCTAAAAATCTATTTTTATATCTAATTATATAATTTTAAACTCCAAAAATGAATAAAATCAAGTAGATCGACAAACATATGAAAATATTGAAAATGGACGGTCTAGATAATGTGTTGCATGATGCACTATTTATGAGACTTTAATATCTATATATATATATATATATATATATATTCATGGATCTTGATGTTGAGATGATGAATTAGAGGGTTTATCAACATTAAAATAACATTTTTCGATAGAATTTTGAGGTGCACTTGTAATTGTACATTTTAAAGTTGCAACCTTATATAACCTTTTTCCTTCCCAAAATATAATAACGTGCACAATGCTTTATGACATTTAAAATAGAGATTGCATACCATAACCTCATTTACCCCTTGTACAAAATCGTCATCAGCCACCTTCAAATAAACCAAAACGTCATCAGCCACCTTCAAATAAATCAAACAGCTGCGGGTGTGCCAGGTTTCCGAATGGATCTTGATTAAAAGTTTTCTCGGGCTTTAAGAGCTATCAATAGGACACATCCTGCCTCCAGATTTCACATCTGACGGTTGTGGATAATTGTATGACTGTTTTTTCACAACGGTAATATTTTTTTTTTGAACATAAAGCTGCAGGCATTTAACTTTCACCCTTATTATTATTAACTGGTGTTTTGATGTTTCAAAACCTCCTTGCGTCTTAGATCCATTTGGTTGCACGTGATGGATTCTTTATCTGTAGTGGTGGTTTCTTTCTACCATCTGTATAGGAAGGCAAATGAGATTGCAAATGGTTTGGCAATAAAAAAGGATAAATTTGGATTTTTTAGTAATTTCGTCTGATTTATTTTTACCGATATATTGTTTCTTTTCCCTTATAAATAAAATAAGTACTCTTGCCAAAAACAAATATAAAAAAAATACAAAGAGAATGATCTCCGAATCTGTGGCCTTTGTCTATGAAATGGGGCTGTAGGGAACCCCATTGCATCAATGGCCTGGACTGACATGAGTGTGCTGACGCGGTGAGGATTTGACATGGGATGAGACGGCTGTCATTCATTGAGCTAACTAAACGTGCACCAGGTAATCTTGCATGGTAGTGGGTTTGAAAGATCTTAAAAGGCACCACCAAATAGCTAGGTGAAACATTAGTCACGGTTCATCCATTTTTTTCATTTTTATTTAGGGGTGGCAATAGGTCACTTGCCGACCCGTTGGTTTGACTTCAACCAGGTCTAGTCCTGGGTTTGGGTTGGGTCCAGGTCTAGGTTCTAGACCCGGGGGGAGGGGTCAAAGGTTTGGGTCTAGCATGGATCCCTATTATATTGGTTCCAGTAAAGTATAGAAAATATGTAAAATATATACTAAATAACATATAAAGACCTAGGTCCATGTCAAAATGACTTGGACTCGACTTGGCACTTGGTCCAAGTCACTCGGATCTCTAGGTCCCTATGGAAACCCCGACCTGCCACAACTTGTTGCCACCCCTGTTATTATTTCATTATAATGAAGGGGGTATTGAGAAAATAAAAATTGAGAAAATAAAAAACACACTCCAAGGAGCATAGATAGGGTCTATTTGCACAAATAAACAAGCCTATTCATCAACCGGATCTAAAACTTTGGGACCGACTGATATGGAGGGATTCCCATTAGGTTGGGTGAGCACGTAGGGTCATCCCGCCAAGTTGACTCTGGTTGTCACTAGGCCATGAAATCTTGGCCAGATGGTCCTTTCAGGTCAAGAAAAAACTGACCCGATTTCTTGCAGAGTTGTTCTTGGGTCAAGCGTAATGTGGGGTTAACCCTGACCAGTTTGCAGTCTGATTGAGCCCTCCTAGTGTTTAAGTGCATGCACAAAGACAAAAGGTGCCCTTGTGAAAATAGGTTTTTAAACTTAACACAACATATTTCAATGGATACTTGAGTTGCATATCAGACTTGTTTGGCTCGTGGGTAGCCATCTCATGTTTGATTTATGAAAAAGCAGTCACCATGACATCTAAACTATTCACAACATTTTGCAAAATAGTGCCATTTTATTAGAACTCTGCTGCATATTTTGCAAGCAGTAAAGCCAAGTGCCATTTTATAAGAAAGCTTCTTTGTACCTTGCAAGGTACAAAGCCGATCTTTTACAAAACTCCCTCTTTGGAGAGATTTTCAATGAAGCAAACCAGCCCAAGATCAATATCTAATATTAAGAAAGAAGAAAACAATCATCACTATTGTCAAAGGTTTTTCTAAATAAATTGGGATTAGCTATGCGAATCTTAGGCTGTTATTTTACTCTATTAAATACCATACCATTAGTAAGGCCATAAGTCCCCATATTTTTTCTCACTCTTTTCAACCATGTTATTTTGGGCCTAGCCCTTGTCTTTTTTTAACCTTCCACTTAAATTGACTCGCACTTCCTAACCGGTGGTGTACTGGGTTTGTGCCATGTATGGCCAGCCACCTAAGTCTAGTCTCTTTCATCTTATCTCCTATTGATGCCATACTTAAATTTTTCAGAATGTATTTATTTCGAATTTTATCCCTTCTTTTCTTTCCCCTCATCCATCTGAACATCCTCATCTCCGCTGTACTCATTCTATAGGTATATCATTTTTGATAGCCCAACATTCCTCTCTATAGAACAAAGTTGGTCTCACATCTGCTATATAGAACTTGTCCTTTAGCTTCATTGGTATACGGCAATCACATAAATGTCAGTTGCATCGTGCATATCTCTCACCAAGTCGATATAGTGTTGGGAGACTCTTTTCTTTTCCAACACCGACCAAATCAAATATTGATGTACTCTATCATAAGCTTTCTCTAGATCAATAAAGGCCATATAGAGGTCTTTTCCCTTCTCCCTAAACTTCTCAATCAGTTGTTTAAATAGGAAAATAACCTTTGTTGTTGAACTTTTTAGCATAAAACCGAATTGGTTTTTTGATACACTCATTTCACACCTTAGTCGTTGCTCAATCACTTTCTCCCAGAGCTCCATAGTGTGGCTCATAAGTTTGATCACTCAATAGTTTGCACAATTCTATATGTCTCATTTATTTTTATAAATAGGTACCACATGTTCTTTGTCTGGTATTTTCTTTGTTCTTAACACCTTGTATAGTTGTGAGTTATACTACCGTGGTTCAATGCTATAAGCTACCATGGAACTTTGATAGACTTTGTAGTATATACTCTAAGTGACGGTTCAAATGAAAAGATACCTTCATGGCACACAAATATTATATGGTTGTCTATTATTTTTTATATTATTTTGAAATAGGAGAGGAAATGTTAGTATTTTAATATAAGTAAAATATTATAAGTTCTTTCAAAATAATATACTTATATATTTTGTTTTCCTAAGTTTTAAATAAATAGAGAGAAAACATTATGGGTCTTAGTCTCATATTGAAGAGTGGAGTGTGAAAAGAGTAGCCATGGAACAAAGGAGAGAGTGTGGACACTTATGCGAAGCACGCAAAGAGTGCGACGTGCACACTCACATGCATGCGTTCGTGAGGGCGAGGGCGAGGGCGAGGGTGAGGGTGCTTGATGGTGCAATTTGCACTTCGCACGCTTGCATTGACGCAAGGCACCCATTGTACATGTATGGGTTGGGCTCGGGCTCGATCCAATTTTATGCAATACGACTCATACTTGCACATGTGCATGAAGCGGTGTGAGCTCTAACATCTAGTATCCTAGACATTGATTTTGAGAGGCCTCATGACTGTTCAATGATCCAACAGTTAATAAATGTTGTATGATGATAGTTGGAAACCCAACAAGCACTTGTCTTGTGAACATGCATATTCACAACTACTATTCACTCTTTCACCTTTTTACTATTTCAAATTCTCTCTCAATATTTTGTTATGAAAATACAAAAAACAAGCCACTTTCTCTCTCTAAAT